AGACCTCAAAATAGCACGAGTGCTATTTGAGGTTTTTGAAAAACTCACGAGTGCATGTTTATCCAAATTTCACGAGAAACCATGCTATTACGTACTTATTAAAAATTTACAGAAAGATGTTTCAGACAATTGCAGTTCTATTGTTCTAACTAAACAAGGGCGAATAATGTTCTCGACCAATCAGAGCATTTGTTTACCTTTTGGCGCTAAGCCAATCAAAACGCGTACATTTTTACTACTTCCGGTTTAGACGCGTATTTCAACACGAAAATTAGGGTCGTAAATAAAGCCTTGGAGGCGCCTGGTTTTTTAATTTTTTAAGCTTATTTCAATGAAATCCTAAAAAATATAAAATTTTCGAAAAATTTGCCGCTGGGATTTGCGTTTAATCGCTAATTTTTGAAATTATCCGCATTCAAAAAACGGCGTATGCAAGGTCACTCTCGAATAGGTCAAAAACGTGTCATGATTCTAAAGTAAGTGAAGCGAAGGCTTATATCCGGAAATATTTAAGAGTGGTTAGAGGCATTTGAGAAAGAAGGCATTTTCACTGCGATTTTGGAGTTAAATTTTCTGGCAATCGGTCACTACACGCCTATAATTTTGCCAGCAGTGGCATATAGCACTAATGTAAAGTAGAAGAATCGCCGTTTCAATGAATGGCAATTTCTTTTCGAAATTTATGCCTCGTTGGCCCAAGCTTTTGACTTGAGAGGATATTATTTGCAAAATGGGCAAGCACTGATGTTTGGTACTTGGTAGGTTTAATACCGTAATAGTAAATAGGTGGAAAGAGCGTCCACAGCCTCGAAAAATGCGACACAAAGAACTATCACGACTGCATTCGATCACTGATTTTTAGATCAGTCCATTCGATCTTATCACATTTGCTGTGTCAATGGAAATTGAAGGTAATAATATCAAACATATTATATATTTCATGCTTTATGATTCATATACATTTTATAGGCTGTCACTATATTAAAAGATTCATATTTTTTCGAGCACCAGATTGTCAGTCAACAGAAGGTTACTTATTTGCTTTAGTACGCAGTTTTCTCTATGTGCTTTATATAATTGTAGAAAATAGAAAGACCACAGTGTATATTTTTAGGATCATGGAATCAACAACTATTTACTAAAGCATATAAAACTCGTGATAGTGATGCAGTGTAATTATACTGAACTTACATTGTTGGATTAGGAAGTCTTTCCACTGATGAAATGCCCAATGTAAGAACTCGGTTGGTGACAACCATGCTTCCAACGTTAACAAATTTGGTAATTTCCACTTTCTTGTCACAGCCTGGCCAGGATTATCATGGAGAACTCCAATTGTTTGTGAGAAATTCAGCAGCCTTGACCTTTCAAATATTTAGAGATTGACTTATGTCATTGTCATCATGACAAGGCAATGTTAGTGGTTCTCCCTCATTTCATATATTGGCAAGAAAACAACCATTCCATGTATCACACACTACATCAAGCATTGGTAGCTTTCAACAAGCACCCTATTGAAAATTTCCACCTGTTCTGTGGGCATGGACTAAGGGGCCGATTACATGGGGCATTTTCAACCCCGGAGTTGAACTCAACCCTGTTGACCAGGTTGACATTTCAGCCCTGTCTGTAATACAAAACTCTATCACAATCAAACGCACAATTACATGACAAAATTGTCAAGCCAGGGCTGAGTCAACCCCGGGGTTTCAACCCTGCTTCAGTTAGCAGGGACTCGACCTTGAGTTCAAAATTTTGTCATGCAATCATTTCAAATCAGGGCTGAAATTATTCATGAGTTGTTCAAGCATGCATGCTAGTGACTATTTATTACACGAAAACAACATGGAGGCTATGGACCTGCTTTTTTTACTTCCGGAAATCAATGCCAGGACACGTACAACATTTCAATCCCGGGGTTGAAATCGTCCATGTAATTGCAAAAAATTCAACCCAGTTAACAGGACTGAGTTCACCCCCGGGGTTGTGTAATATCACCCCCTAATGCCACAGAACAGGGCCGCAGAGAGGTTGCGCGCGGCCCAGGGCAAGACTGTCCCAGGGGCCCCTATGAGGTCATAGTTGTAAAGTGGAAGAAGCAGTGTTTTACAATATATTACACTTTATTGCATACTATCCCGGCCTAATGCAGCTAGGATTTATATTCTTAGTTAAGCAATCTTGTATCCATAAATTTTAACGGCCTTTGTTGCTTTGGGGCCCCTTTTGAGCTGAGGCCCCGGGGCAAAGTACCCGCCCCCCCCCCCCCATGTAAGTTCAGTATAACTACACTGCATCACTATCACGAGTTTTATATGCTTTAGTAAATAGCTGTTGATTCCATGATCCTAAAAATATACACTGTGGTCTTTCTATTTTCTACAATTATATAAAACACATCGGGAAAACTGCGTACTAAAGCAAATAAGTAACCCTCTTTTAATATAGTGACAGCCTATAAAATGTATATGAATCATAAAGCATGAAATATATAATATGTTTGATATTATTACCTTCAATTTCCATTGACACAGCAAATGTGATAAGATCGAATGGACTGATCTAAAAATCAGTGATCGAATGCAGTCGTGATAGTTCTTTGTGTCGCATTTTTCGAGGCTGTGGACGCTCTTTCCACCTCGAGTGTAATCCGAATAAACCTATACCAAGTACCAAACATCAGTGCTTGCCCATTTTGCAAATAATATCCTCTCAAGTCAAAAGCTAATTGGGCCAACGAGGCAATCATAAATTTCGAAAAGAAATTGCCATTCTTTGAAACGGCGATTCTTCTACTTTACATTAGTGCTATATGCCACTGCTGGCAAAATTATAGTCGTGTAGTGACCGATTGCCAGAAAATTTAACTCCAAAATCGCAGTGAAAATGCCTTCTTTTTCAAATGCCTCTAGCCACTCTTAAATATTTCCGGATATAAGCCTTCGCTTCACTTCCTTTAGAATCATAACACGTTTTTGACCTATTCGAGAGTTACCTTGCATACGCCGTTTTCTGAATGCGGATAATTTCAAAAATTAGCGATTAAACGCAAATCCCAGCGGCAAATTTTTCGAAAATTTTGTATTTTATAGGATTTCATTGAAATAAGCTTAAAAAATTAAAAAACCAGGCGCCTCCAAGGCTTTATTTACGACCCTAATTTTCGTGTTGAAATACGCGTCTAAACCGGAAGTAGTAAAAATGTACGCGTTCTGATTGGCTTAGCGCCAAAATGTAAACAAATGCTCTGATTGGTCGAGAACATTATTCGCCCTTGTTGTTCTAACTTAATTTCTTAAGTTCTAGTTTAATATAGTGAGCATTCCACTAGCAAAGTTTTCCTGGCTTTGTAATATCACATTCTACTACGTCATCAGTCTACGTCACTACGGAATTACATGAGAGAGCGCGCGCGAGCTATCTAGGCATTTTTGTGCTTGCGTCTTTCTGGGCATAAACAACGTGAAGAAATTTATGCGAATAAATCGTAAAGAATAGTTCATCATCATCGGTCTGTTGAACAAAATTTTTGCACAAGGCAAACAGGGGGTATATTGTTTTGTTATTTTGCTCTTTTGTGGTTTTTGTTTCATATTCTCGTTTAGGTAAACGAATCAAATGGACAATGAATATATAAATGATGACAATATGGCGGACAGCCACAAACAAAATTCACGCTTGTGCTGCAGAGTTGAGCGACAAATATAAGCAACCCAGTACACCCACAATGGGGAAAAGCTACGGTCTATACACACCGCTCCTAAGATGAGCAAGTGAAACTATAAAAGCCTTATCAAGGCATATGAGGCCAACGGCCATATAAAGACCAACGGGCGAAATATACGAGGCCAAACAAAGGCCATACAAAGCCCAACGGGCAAATATACGAGGCCAAACAAAGGCCATACAAAGCCCAACGGGCAAAATATACGAGGCCAAACAAAGGCCATACAACGCCAATTAAACGGGCAATGAAACAAGAAGCCAATGGCTGTGGAAAAGCCTATAAAACCAAGAAACAGGACGCCAACTACCCTGTCCAAAGGCAAAAGGTACACAAGGTCAACGACCACATTGTTGCTTCAGCAACTTGGGAAGTACCAAGAGACGCCATTGGCATTGCTGTGCTGGGATGTCCACAGTTATAGCGGACAATATCGTGCTTATCGGACCGTATAGCTAGTGCTTTTTCACACCACTAGGAAGCTAGTCCATTATTTTAATGCACACAACCGTAACGCAGAAACTAATTGGATTTTTCCAATGTCAACGACATAAAAATGTCATTTGTGGCGTGTGCCGTGTGGATAAAGTCCATGGCATGTATATACACATATATTAAATGATCACTTTACCCACTGTGCTTTACCTAATGGAATCTACAATAATATAATATTGTTTATTGCTGCAAAGCGTTCAGATTGAACGACAATTTATTTGCACTTAAGTAATACTTTATACTCGAGTTTATCCTGAGCGAACATTTTACTTTGTTTACTTGGCGGGAAATTGCCAGCACTTTGCCAGTTATATATTCACGTGCTACGCACGAGATTTAAACATGGAAGTACATCAGTACATGTTACGAGAACCACGCTGAAGAAATAAACAACTGTGAAACTTTTAAACGTTTTATCTTGTGTGATATAATAAATATAATAGCATAGCTAAATGTCAGCAAAACCGTTGAAACAAGACCTGAATGCAGACAATGCAGACCAGTTTTAACTTGATTGGTCACTTCCTGTAATACAACAACAACAGCAGGGGTGATGGCTATCACATGACATGTAGCACTACAACCTACAATGAATATTTGCTCATTTGAATGTGAGCACCCAATAACACAATGTTCAGCCTGTTTGGGATTAACTGCACTGAAATCAACCAATCACAGTCGAGTAATATCTTTATGTATATTATTATGCATGTTATAACTAAGCACAACCGTAATTTCCCGTGTAATTCAATATTGGCACTCGTCAGTTTTTTCTTTTGACCTTGTGTGTTTTATTTCAATTCAACGTCCTTGACAGTGACTACAGTACTGTAATTAAGCAAAAGTTTATTATTTATTATACAATGTCATTCAATGAAAATAATACCACAATAGTTCTATGTTAAATGTTACCTCTAGTATATATGTCACAATTTTTAAAATCCATTATACACAACTTCAACACATACATTATATATACACACTAAATGTTACTTTGGTTTTCCTGGGGCTAGTTGTATAAAAAAGTAGTTAAAGCTAACTGCAGTTAGCGCAAAAGATAACCAGTCGGAATCGCGCATTTGAAAGCTAACTGCAGCTCCATTTAACTACAAAACGGGTAGCTAAAACGTAGTTAAGTCTTTTATACAACCGGTCCTCTCTGGACGTTGAGGGGGGGGGATAAATGACGCAACTATTGAAACTTCAAGATCAATAACTTGACGAAAATATTACACCCATGCACACTGACTCCATATTGTTAGTGAAGTTTAATACTTATTTTTTATTTTTTTTTAGCAATGAATTAATGTTTGAAAATAAGTAAATTTGCTCATAAACTTGGGAATGAGTAATTTTGGTAAATTTTCAATTTTGCCAAAAGGTGATCGGATGAATACTAGTATTTTAGCCCAAAACCGTTACAAGCAACATAAAATAGTAATCTCGGTCTGTACCAGTGTAGGTAGCGACGATTACAGTACAGCTGTGGATTGAGAGAGATACCATTCCATGAAAATTACAAGCAGATCACTTGGACGTTTCGAGTGAAGACCCTTCGACACATGTATAACTTCCCGACGAAGGGCCTTCGCTCAAAACGTCGAAATTCTTCTTGTATTTTTTAGGTAGTTGTATCAATCAACAGCAGCCATCAAAAGTAAGTTTGGTTTTCCAATGCAGTAACAACACTGCTGTTTTTTAATAAACATTACGAGTTGAGTTGCACCAAAAATTGCATCAAGTAACAACCAATGCATCTTCTTTTAATCGTTATATGCATGGTTCCTACAATATACATAACCAGCCATGGTTTTCTACATTTTATTTTGCAAACTAAAATAATATGAAGTGCATACAGTTTATATGCAGGACTTCGCCTCAATGACATAGCTATCCCGCCACCACAAAAATACATGGGATAATTTCCAGTCTTGAAATTCTAATTCCTGTAGATTATTTAAATTTGAGCACTACAGCGACTACCGCAGCCACGCCTGCAAGAATAACTGAGCAACCAACTACGTATGGATATACTTCGGAATGATGGAAGTGTTCAATTTCTGCACCTTCATCGTAGAACCGTACACGCACGCCAGGCTTGTCACTAGAATAAGAATACCTTACTTTAAACATTAAAAATAACAAGAGATTTTGGCCGCGTCACAGCCATGATGTCAAGCTGTTTGGACACCAGCTGATTATATTGTGGTATTTCCCCAAAAGTTAGTAACAATTTCCAAATAAACAAAAATTAATAATAATAGTAATTTATAATTATACATAATAATTATATTTATCCAGGATACTCACATCACCTACGTGTTTTTCCGTGGCGTCCAAAATTATAATTTTTTACAATATTAATTGTCATTATTTTTATCAGTCTGAATGAAGCAATCTGATTGGCTGAGGAGCCTTTCAGATCTGAAACGCAACTGCCCGCTGTAAAATGCAACTGCCCGCTCTGGTTTTCGCGGGGAAAAATAGGAGTGAAACAGTTTTTAAACGAAAAAATCTGCCCAAAACGTTTGAAAAACGTAGCCTAGCCGATAATCAGAATACGAAAATGAATTACATCAAGCCCTAAAGACTTTATACTAAGCACGATGTACACCAGAATTGACAATATTCTGAGAGAAATGCGACTGAAATTCTAAAACTTATTTGACATGTATAAAACTTACGTCGAGAAAACTATATATTTTTTTAAATGCTCCTGTATTCGGCCACTTAAAAGCGAAAAAATTACAGCTTAAACATATATTGTAAAAGAAATGTTTTCTCACTCATTTAAAAGAAGGTTTAAGTGCAGCAGTGAAAACAAGTCACGAATATTGAATATATTCTCTACCCATTTTCCCGTATTGCCCACGGACAATACGCAATTTTATTGCCCTACGAAGCTGCGAGCTAGCCTGCGACAAAGCCGAGTTTCAAACAGCAAAAAGCGTCTAAAAGTCTTTCAAACTATTCAAAACGAAGAAAAATAGACTTAAAATAGACAACTGCTGTGGTTAGCCTAAATAACTTTCTCAATATGTTTTTGTTAGCGAAAGTTGAAATGAGAAGGTAAATTTTACAATGTTTATAACTATTAAAGCAGTCAAGAATACTGTAGTTGTGTTTTGAACATGTGAAGAGCTCCAAATTTTATTTGCAGATAGCCAGGGGGAATTTGACATCATCTAAATAAAAAATACAATTAAAGCAGCCACAGATTTATAATTTTCCCCTGAAAATTTCTGTTTTTATTTGATAAAAAGAGACATAAATTTGGGATGAAGCGAACTAAACAACTAAAACGTTTAACGTACTTGCCGATGCTGTTTATTAATTTTATTTTCATATTTGTTGTCTTTGATTAAATGACGAAATACCTCGTATTTTACTTGAAATACTATCCAGAGTGTGTTAGTATTCTATAAAAAGTGCTCTAGGGTAGTTTCACTAACCAAGAGAAAATGTTTTACAATTGTTTTTTTTTTCAAATGTGTTGGACTTTGTACTTTGCCCTCACGTGACCTTTTCCCCATTTTTTACAAACGTACACAATGCCATATAATAAAAAACTTACAGACCTCAACCGTTCGGGCAGCGGTATGGAAAAATATCCAACCTCGGTCTTGCTGTACTGACCTCGCTATCGCACGGTCAATATACAACAAGTACTCGGTTGGATATTAGACAGGTTCAGATTTTACTTCCACTACCTCTACCATTAAGGGACCATCAACCAATCAGATGCGTTTGATATATCCGATTAACCAATCAGATGCGTACTAAGTCAGTGAGAGGTAGTGGTAGCGGTAGTGGAAGTCAAATCTGAACCTGTCTATTTTCCCGTACTGCCCTCACTCTCGGTCAGTAAGTGATTAATATATATATGAATCGTACAAAAATATACAAATACATACATGCACGTTAGAACAATCATAAAAGAATAATTGATTTATAAATTTAGAGTGGATCGATATCGGAAATACCGAATACCGATATACCGCCACCAGAATACCGGTAAATACCGGTATTTTTAAGTGTTTTTTTTAAAATCAAACTGAACTGCTTGACTTCGAGAAAAATTAAGTTTTGACAAAATATTAATGTGACACATATTGTTATTAGTGCAAATTTCATAAGATTCGCATTATCAAACTATGTTAACGGCGCTATAAGCGTTAAAAATTTCGCCATTCCTTAAAAATTTTCGCCATTTATATATTTCCAATTAAGGCGATTTAATAAACAAGACGTCTTGGTATTGCTAAAACCAAAGCTGCTAGAACTGTATAAGAACAAAATCGTCCATCTGTGACTAGTAACTTTGGTTTCTAAACACGATTGTAAGTAAGTTCGGAAACACGATTGTAAGTAAGTTCGACTTGATCGAAGTAGGGTTTCAATCCGGTATTACGCAGTAAAATACCGAAATGTCGGTATATCGGTATTTTGGAATTGTCAATATCGCCAATACCGGTATCTAAACAAATACCGGTATACCGGATATATCCGGTATATCGATCCACACTATTTATAATTTATAAAAAAATAATTTAGTCCGTAAGCATGTAACGTTTCTCGGATGGTAAGGAAAGACTCCAAATATAATAAAAAAATAGAATGACATTGTATTTTCCAATCGCATGAACGATTAAAATGTCAAACATCGACTAATATCAGCCATTTGGCAAGGAAAGGTGGTGAGTTATCCGGCTTTTCATTAACAGAATGCGAATACGCATGATCATGAATTAATCAATTAACACTTACCGGACTTGTTCTTGTTGTCGTTAGATGATTTGGTTCCTGATTTGGGTGGATAATATGATTTTTTGGCAGCATGTTTTGTATTATACTTATTACATACATCGTGCAAACTTACCTATAGACCCGGCTACTGAGAGGTTCCTCTGTGGCGACAAACTTTACATCTTTATTACGTACAATCCGGGCCAAAACTCATGTGGACACTTAGTGCACTTTTGCAAAAATCATAACAAACACCTAAAACTTGAATTTACTTGCACATCCCCCACTCCCTCTCTTCAATGTTGCATTTCCGACTTAACCACACTTCGTATTTGATGAAAAATCCCATTCAACATTGGCTTGGGGGAGCGGGGGGATAATTATTTATAAAAATCACCATACGCGGCCAAATTCTGTGCGTTGTCCACAACGTTTTGTCCAGGATTGTCTGAAAAATGATGGGCATGGAGAAGCGTTGTTTTATAACTTGTTATTTAACATTTGATATGTCTGATGAGACTATGACGCATACCGATGTATTCTAAGTTTTTGTTATTCAGTTTGATCGCTGATGGCGTCACTATTAGCAATTACGTCACTTCGGATGTTGTAAATATAAGCTAATTTGTGGGAAGCGTGCGTAAAACCAACTATACTGAATAGGTGCGAACATAACTTTTTCTCAATCTTATACATGAAAGGTACACCGATTTTACTGTTCAGATACATAGCTAAGGAGCGCATTTAGGCTTTAACAGGAGAGAAATTGACGGTGCAGGCAAATTTTCAGTGTCATATTTACGGAGATTCAGTATGATTCCAGAACGTTTCAATACTCAAGCTATGTAGGAATTACCTTATTCCATGGAATAAATTATTGTATTTTTGCATATTTACTGATTTTAACGACTCTTGTAGTTTTGAACAGCCTATATTTTTATACACAGCCCTAATATATTACTCCCCAATAACAAGAACCTTGCAATATCAAACTGGAAAAGCTTCAGTACACAAAATGAAATATATCATGTTAACCTTTTTCGCCATTTGAAAGGCAATATAATTTGACATTGAGGATTCTTAGTATTTCCAAAGATAAGTGTCTATCATAACTTGTACGCGAACTCGATCCAGCTACAGCCATTAAATACATACAATGCACTTATACTTGTAAATATTGTATTACAATTGGCGTTTGTCAAATAATGAAATATTGCCTTACACTTTTCAATACTGTGCGCCGACTAGCACGCCAGCACGGTCTACAGTAACTTCGTACTTGAATTATACACAATTGCTGCATTGAAATGTAACGATTTCTTCTTAGGGAACTACCTATACATATTATACTTGTTATTAAAATGTCTTCGTAATTCACACAGTAGAGAAATAAAAAGTTACCACGGTCTACATATTAAAAGTAGCTCTTTGAATATAATAGATCATAGCTCATTAGTATTCATGAAAATACGATTTTTGTGTGTAGACCGTGGCGATTTTTAAGGCATAGCTGATTTTATATGTTTTGCTGCATACTGGTGCAAAACGTAATTGGACAAGCCTTTTAATCTATATTTTTAATCGATTGCGCGCTTGTATACTTCTAAAATCACTGCAAAAAAAGGTGTAGACCGTGTTTCGAGCTTTGAATATTATGTTACACATTACGTCACTCGATCGGAAAGTATAACATATCAACTTAACAATTATAGCAAAGCCCTGTAACTTAATATATAATTCAGATGTTTAGTTCCTGCCTTAAATCATGTATAGTTTTCTGTCAAGCATTGTATTCCGCAAGTTTTAGACGCACCTTGAAATTGCACTGTCAGAAAGAAGCTGTAATATATGGTTAAAACAGAGAAACGTACTAGCATATATCGTAAGCAGCAAGACTTGCAGTTAACGAATTATAATACTTTTATGGAAAATGCCATTTATTTGTATAAATTAGATTCTCGAGCACTTCAAGAATGCATAAACAAACTTGTACAATATATATTCTGTCATTCTCGTCACATAATTATTCCTAAAAATTAGGCTCGTTGGCGCGTTTTTTGGTTAGGAAATCTGTTCCTTACCGGACAATTTTTTTTTTAAAAGATGATCAAAAATGGATTATTCAAATGCAAACAAGCGCAATTTTACTTACAAAGCATATTTTTTCCCGTTTTGTGTCATATTAGATACAAGAACCGTCTGTTATTTTTTATAGTGATTTTCAGACAATCCGGGCCAAAACTCATGTGGACACTTAGTGCACTTTTGCAAAAATCATAACAAACACCTAAAGTCCTGATTTTATATGTTTTGCTGCATACTGGTGCAAAACGTAATTGGACAAGCCTTTTAATCTATATTTTTAATCGATTGCGCGCTTGTATACTTCTAAAATCACTGCAAAAAAAGGTGTAGACCGTGTTTCGAGCTTTGAATATTATGTTACACATTACGTCACTCGATCGGAAAGTATAACATATCAACTTAACAATTATAGCAAAGCCCTGTAACTTAATATATAATTCAGATGTTTAGTTCCTGCCTTAAATCATGTATAGTTTTCTGTCAAGCATTGTATTCCGCAAGTTTTAGACGCACCTTGAAATTGCACTGTCAGAAAGAAGCTGTAATATATGGTTAAAACAGAGAAACGTACTAGCATATATCGTAAGCAGCAAGACTTGCAGTTAACGAATTATAATACTTTTATGGAAAATGCCATTTATTTGTATAAATTAGATTCTCGAGCACTTCAAGAATGCATAAACAAACTTGTACAATATATATTCTGTCATTCTCGTCACATAATTATTCCTAAAAATTAGGCTCGTTGGCGCGTTTTTTGGTTAGGAAATCTGTTCCTTACCGGACAATTTTTTTTTTAAAAGATGATCAAAAATGGATTATTCAAATGCAAACAAGCGCAATTTTACTTACAAAGCATATTTTTTCCCGTTTTGTGTCATATTAGATACAAGAACCGTCTGTTATTTTTTATAGTGATTTTCAGACAATCCGGGCCAAAACTCATGTGGACACTTAGTGCACTTTTGCAAAAATCATAACAAACACCTAAAACTTGAATTTACTTGCACATCCCCCACTCCCTCTCTTCAATGTTGCATTTCCGACTTAACCACACTTCGTATTTGATGAAAAATCCCATTCAACATTGGCTTGGGGGAGCGGGGGGATAATTATTTATAAAAATCACCATACGCGGCCAAATTCTGTGCGTTGTCCACAACGTTTTGTCCAGGATTGTAGGTTATCATCTTTGAGTTTCATGAAACGCTTTATTTCCCCACGAAAGAGAGAAACATCAACACTTTCTGCAAATTTCTGCATTTCACGTTTCTTTAGGAATGCTTGCATATTGAAAAATTGAGCATCTTCATCTGAAGATAGTGTAAAACACAAGCATACAAGATACTTTGTGGCTTGATCACATATTCGTATGGATTTTAATTCTTTGCTGCTGACAAACGGGATACCCTTACTTTTGAGGGATTTAAAGATCGGTTGCAGAAATTCCACATCCGCTTTCTTATCGTTAAGCCATTTGGAACATGAAACAGAGACTTCCTGTAGCTCCTTCAAGAAAGCATCGTAATCTTCATTATTCGCCGATACACCTCCGTTTTTTTCCTTAAATAAAGCCATGTACTTCTGCAACATATTCATAAACAATGTAAGCTGCTTTTTGAAATTCGGGAAAATATCTTCTCTCCTGAGGTTTTCACATTCAGTGAGTAAAAATTGGAGTTGTTCCATTTCAGTCCTGATCTCTGGCATTTTCTCCCTAAAATAAAAATTGTTGCTAGTAAATGTGAAATGAACGGTCTATTTTTGGGTGTACCTGAAAAGGCTCCAGCAGTCGTCAGAGCAATTAAGCGCCTTTTGCCTCTGAGAACTTGGATTCCATTCTCGCTCATGTGAAAAGAGTCAGTCAATGCTCTGTCGAAAGCTGCGGATATTCTCCCGGCGCTCCGGCTTCCTCCCACAGGAAAAGTTGAGAGAGTTAGTTATAGGATAAACGTAGTAACATCACAATTCTTTTAAAGATAAATATTCTACGCTAAGTAGGTAATATAATTCAGCGTAATACTTGATGTAATCGGTCACTGAAAAGCCCCAATGGGGAGTGTCCTGATTAATATATGTGTGTATACAGCTATTTCAATTAAGGTTGTCCCCCGAGCAAAGCGGAAAAGTCGAATACGAGCACGACAGGCTGCTGGGAATCGCTAATAAATTCATTAATTTATTTGCGATTCCCAGCAGCCTTTCGCGCTCATATTCGACTTTTCCGCTTTGCTCGGGGGACAACCTTAATTGAAATAGCTGTATATGTATGTAAATAGAAAAAGAAAACGCCAGACTAAGGGCATAACCTCAAAATTTTGATGTTTTCTTGTAAAGAGACATAACTGAAGCGAGAACAGCTTATTAGCAAATGCAATACCAGTGCAAGTCAAGTGAAACCATTGCATGTCGGTTTTGGAATATTCCTTCTTGTTAAAATATATTAGCAAATACTTAACTATTAATTTTATGTTTTCCGAGTGATTTCTTGGTCACAAGGAAAGACTGGCATTTCTCACAGTATAAACGAGGAATAGAGAATTAGAAATATATTATAGAATAGAAAGTGTGAAAAATAAGAACTAAATCAAAAGCATTGATAAAAGTTTCAAATGCGGCTTCGGTATCGACCAGTTTGATACTGGATTTAGGGTATCAATTTCAGGGACGTTGAAATTATATAATGAGCCTAATAAACAACCTGTTGATACTGCCAGAATTGTTGCAAGGTTGTTGCAACAATTTTGATACATTGTTGCCACCTTGTGTCATCAACCTTGTAACATTCATGTTGTATCATGATTGTATCAGACTTGTTAGTACAACACTGTAGCAAGTCTGATGATGCCACCAAGCTTGTTACAAATTGTTAGCAGCCAGGGCCGTCCTCAGGAAATTCTTCAGGGGGGTGTAAGACCATTTCAACCGCCAGACGAACGAGCTTGTACCGATCACAAGCTACTGTAGCTATGGAAGCTTGTAAAATTTCCGATGGAGGTCAACTAAATTCAGGGACCGTGGAGCCATTTTTGGATTAAGGGGGCCATAGCAAACTCCGAAGGCGTGAATTTGTTCAGGCGTCCGGGGAAATTTTGGAATCTGAGACCTCCCAGAGCCCCGGAAATGCAATCAAATTTACTAGTTACTGTTAAAAAGTTTCTTAAGAGACGACTGTTACTCTAATATTACCCATCATTTGTTTAATCCAACCAAAAAAATGATTGAATACTTGGCTATATAAGTTACTAAATATATTGTTAACTGATCTGAAAGATTTCAGTATTCTTAGTTTATAAAAATCACACATGTATGGAATATTATTGGGAGACCCCTGCTTCGCGGTCCCTGAAATTACGCCTGTTGTGCTCTAAATGAAACCTGTTCATATTTGATAATTGAGTTTAATTTTGGCGGGAATATATTGCGTTCAGCGGTTCTACCTATCAAACATGCTACATATACTTCATTTAAGATCTTTTGTATCGCTATGTGGTTTAAGTGTCAATCTGGGTTTGTTTTACTAAAGGATTATAATGATTATCCTGCTGAGTAAATTCGGAGTAACCAAAATTTCCGTTTCTTATATAACAGGTGAAAATCACATCGGTAGTAGTTTTATTTGTCAAAAATATTATTGTCTGCCGACTAAAATAGCAGTCCTGCCGACTAAAATAGCAGTCCTGCAGACTGAAGCTTCGAATAAAATTTCTGGGGTGTCACACCCCCCCCCCCTCCCCCCCCCAACATCCCATAGCTCCAGGCCTGTTAGCAGCTTGCTACAACAAGTACATAGGGACAAGCAGATGTAGCAGTTTGAACACAGCTTGTCGACAGCTTCTGAACTGACATGTAACAACTTATTTGCAGATATTATATATATATATATATATATATATATATATATATATATATATATATATATATA